GAATTCATAGCCACTTTGCCATTCTATTCTCACTTTGCCTTCAGAGGTAATGGGGGAAACAGGAGAGATGGACATTGTCTGGATGCTTAATAAATGAGGAGCCATGGAATTGGAGAGAAGGCAGCATGCAGTGTTTAGCTCACTCTCACTGTGTATCTGCTCAGTATCATACTGGTGGCTCAGTTGCCACTAAGACAAGGGTAGAATAACCTTAGCATTCTGCTACAGAGACATCAAAACATCTAACAGAAAAACAGTAGGCACTTTTCCTATAATTCTGGAAGCCCCTTCACTGTTGCCAGAGGTACATGGTGAGTCATGCATAGAGTGGTTATTCTCAAATGGTTCAGGCTGCTATCACAAATTACCATAGATAGAGTGGCTTAAACAACAGAAATTTATTCCTTACAGTTCTGGGGGCTGGGAAGTCCAAGGTAAGCATGGTCAGGTTCTGGTGAACCCACTGCTTGGTTTACAGTTGGCTGTCATCTTGCTATTAATGTATATTCTCATGTGGCAGAGAGCAGAGAGAAAGGAAGCAGGCTCTCTCATGGCTGTTTGTAAGGGCACTACAAACAGCTCCACCCCCATGATCTAACTACCTCCCAAAAGCCTTGCCTCCAAATATCGTGGATCAGAGCTTCAACATATGAATTTGGGGGTGACACAAACATTCAGACCATAGAACTTTGCTTGAGCTTCTCAGCCTTTAGCTCTGGTTCTTAAGGACTGATTATATGCAAAGTTTGTCTTTATAGTAGCCATTGTTGGGTGTATGTAGAGAGCAGGTGGAGAAGGAAGAATAGTGAGGCAGAGACTTAGTGTAAGAGATATTAAAGAAGAGTCAGAGGAGTCAGGCAGACCTTTCTATTCTTATGCCTTCCTCTGCTTCCAGAAAAAGCCTTCCTTTCAGTCAGCCAAGCACACTTTCCCATATCCCCTGAGTACGCACTGCCTTGCCTCTGAGCATTTACATGCCCCCTCAACTGGGGATCTCATTCCCAGCCTCTGAGGAATTCTTCCACTATCTTTAGAATCTACTTAGAATTGCATCTCATCTGCACTGTCTTGCCTAGCACTCCTGTTTCTAAGACTGTTGACAGATGGACCCTCAGCAGAACAGGTTGAGGTTCACATCTGGGGATGTGTGATTAGGCATGAAGACTCATCTTTGGTCTAGAGGGCAGTGTCTGAGTCAGACTGCGGGCTCAGTAACCGCAGTTGGTGAGAAGGCCCTGAGAGTCGTCCTTGCCAGAGCTGAGCTTGAATTCTGGCGAAGTCAAGCAATACCCATGTTACAGCCAAAAGGTCAAACAGCCAAGTGTGGTCAACAAGACCAGGGCATCAGGGGAAATCTGGTAAGTCTAGCTGTACCCCAGTTTTAGGCCTCACCTTGGGGGCATTGGACCCAGGATCTCTCCCCTCCAGATTTCACTAGTGTACATACTTACGGTCATTGTCATTCTCATGGTATTTGATCCTTTACACTTTTGTACTGCTAGTAAATGTTTTGTGTGTACTGTCTCTCCAAGCTCCTTGAGAACCTAAATGCATTTATATATATGCATCTCTCTAGTACATATGATTATTCTGTATATATCTGATAGCCATACCAGAAATATCTATTGCATGAATGAATCCAAGCCATCCTATCTATTATGGGTTGGATTTTGTCCCTCAAGAAAAAAGTATACTGAGTCCTAAGCTCTAGTGCTTCAGAATGTAATCTCCTTTGTAGACAGGGTCTTTACAGAAGTAATCAAGTTAAAATGAGGTTATTAGGTGAGCTCTTGTCCAGTATGACTGGTGTCCTGGGAAATTTGGACAGAGAAAGACACACACAGAAGGGAAGATGGTGGAGAAGAGGGCCACCTACAAGCCCAGGAGAGAAAAAAAAAGAGCACACCCTCCTCTTGCTGTGGGCCTTAGGAAGAACCAACTCTGCCAACACCTTAATTTAGGATTTCTGGCCTTCAGAACTGTGAGAAAATCTGTTTCTGTTGTTTAAGCCACCCAGTTCATTGTACTTTATTACGGCAGCCTTAGCAAAGGAATACAGGGTCTTTTACTTACAGAGCACTTACTCTGTTCTAATCACTTTACAAGTCTTAACTCCTTTAATCTAATAAAATCTCTCTGAGATAGGTACAATAATATCATTACTAAAGAAGAAGAAACTGAGATGCAGAGAAGTTAAGTAAATTGCCCGAGCGAGATGCCTCAGATAGTAAGCAGCAGAGTCAGGATTGGAAAGTAGGCAGTCTGGCTCCAAACACATAGTCTTAACTGCAATGCCAACCCGGAAAATGCCCTTTAATGCAATGATTATAAACTGCTGGACTCAGGTCACGTTCAGCGCATATGTGTTCTATTTGACCTTGGGGCAGAATGCATTTTCCAGAGGTGCATGTAACCACATCTCTTACCCGACGTGCTCTTGTGTGTTGTGCCCCTGCCATTCTGAATCAAAGGATCGAGTTGATTTCTCTGCCTCCATAAGGCGAGGTGGGCACTGTGACTGTTTGACCCAGGCGTCCTCAAACTACGGCCTGTGGGCCACATGCGGGTGTTTTTGCCTGTTTGTTTTTTTTTACTTCAAAATAAGATATGTGCAGTATGCATAGGAATTTGTTCACAGTGTTTTTAAAACCATAGTCTGGCCCTCCAACAGTCTGAGGGACAGTGAACTGGCCCCCCTGTTTAAAAAGTTTGAGGACCCCTGGTTTGCCCAATAGCATAGGATGAAAGTGAGGCTGTGACCAGTCCGAGCATGGTCCTTAACTGGCCTGGAAGCTTCTACTTTCTGTCTCTTGGAAGCCAGTTGCCACGTAAAATGTGCAGCTTCTTGAGATCACCATGCTGTGAAGTGGGCAAGAACAAGGAGAAAGGGTAGAGGATGAGACATCACGCAGAGACAAGGCAGGTAGGGGGAGGTCGCAAAGGAGTGTAGGTACAAAGGTGTCAGCTATGTGGGGATGAGTAATCCAGTTTGGAAGTGGATCCACCCAGCTGATGCCAGGTGGGGCAGAAGCGAGTCACTCGGCAGCACTCTTTCCAAATTTCTGAACCGCAAGTCATGAACAGAATAAAATGGCTGTTTTAAGTCACTACTTTTGGGGTCCTTTGGTACACAGATAACTAATAAATCTTGTCTGAAAAGACGGTGTTTTGAAATAATTTGTTGCCAACAGTTATAGGCTGGGAGAGGTCTCTTCTCTCTCTCACCCCTACACACCTCTGCACATACCCCTCTCCCCAGGCACAAGGATTTTCAGCTTTTCCTGAAGAAGTAGGATAGCCACACTTGCCTGAGATCTTCAGAAGGGGTGACAGAGTACACACACTCTCTGGAGTTTCCGGCACCCCTAGCAGGCCCGCTTTCCTTGTTTACGCTAGCTGCCTGTCCCACACAGGTATCTGGATTTGTGATGTAGCTCTGGCTGTTTCATTAAAACCTTCCACTAAGTTCACACTAGTTAGCAGCATACCCTGGCTGGTCCACACGGCCCTGCCACTGCGCCAGGGGTGGCAGTTCCCAAGCCACTGCCCCGTCCCGTCCTCCTTTTCCTCTCCACGCAGTGTCCAACGCTCTGGAGGGCCGGGGCACGCAGCCAGGCCATCACACCTTCCAAGGCTTTTCTTGTTTGCTTGTTCGCGACCGCAGGAGGGGTGCTTCTCCAAAATTGAAACTTCATACTGTGCCATTCCTTCATCTCATTTCCAGGCCCCCTGCTGCGTGACCGTGTGACACATAGTCATTCTGTGAGAATCGAGAAGGATATTGGCAGTTTGGGAGCTGTTGTTCCTGCTTATGTATGCAAAGAACATAATTGCTAAGTGCATCATCTGCTGTAATTTACACATCCACATATAGCACTGAGCAGGCCATTCTCCTCTTCCACGGGCACCCAGGGTTGAAGTTGCAAACACACTTTAGCCGAGAGAAGCTGGCTGTTTTCCAAGGCCCAAGGCAGCCCAGTGGAAGAGTTGAACAGTGTGATTTCTAAGACCTCCAAAAATGAGACTGGCAGAATTTCTTCCTAGATTATTTAGAATTTTCACAGAGAAGATGCAAAACCCATTATCTGCTGCATCTCACCCCTTTATTCACTCTTTTCAAATGAGTTTCAGGCCCCTTGTAGGAGCTAGTGGTAATGCCAGACCTAGGGATTTGCATCTTTGTGTAAGAGATGCTATTAAATAAGGGAGTTGACCCCTGCCCCCAGGACACAGACCTTGGAGCAGAACAGCTAAACATGTCTTCAGAGGATTTCACTGGGGAGAAAGCACTTCCCAGAGGCAGATTCGTTCAGATGTGTCAAGTTTAACCGCACCTTAAAGGGGCATTATTCTGACTTTCTTCCACTCTCGGGTTTGTACTTATTTCTAAGGTGGATAGAAATGTTCATTGTTAGATGATGAAGTGGGAAGGGCCTTTTGCCAGGACACTTAGGTGAGGACCCAGCACTTAGGCTAATCCATTTTAGCAGCACTGCTAAGGTGGCCCCAGTTGTGCCCCAGAGCTGTTTCTTCCAAAAGCTACAGATATGATCAGCACCCAGAGTCGTGAAGGGCACATAGTAGAATAAGGCATCAGTTCTGCTCTCTACAAGGTTGTATTTCAAGCTTACATTTTAGACAAGACACACAGCTAATACATACAGAACAATTACTTTAGAGGACCAGGCAAGAAGAATGTCAGGAAATTCAAACCCAGGCATTACGACAGATGGTCAGTTTCTAGTCTCAGGCTGGCTGGATTTGAATCCTGGCTAACCCACTTATCAGCAGTGCAATATGGGGAAATTTACACAACCAGTCTGCCTCAGTTTTCTCATTTGTGAAATGGGTATAAATAAGAATATATCTGTCAGTGTCGCTGTGGAAGTTAAAGGACATAAAACAGGACTCAGAACTTGGTGAACGGTAGCCCTCGGTATTTTGTCTGTAATTCTGTAGCACATGAATGTTCTTTCTGGTCCTTGTGATTTCCTTCATAGGTTCCTCATGAGATTGACAGTAGCACCCTTAGTCACCAGGCCCCTGCTCGCAGATCTAGCTACGAAGGACAATGGAGGTGAGTTGGCCTTTGGTACCAACAGCACTGCGCTGCCATTTCTCAGCTGTTTCACTCTGGGGCACAAGGTTATCCTGTCTTCATCTCAGATGAAGACAACAGTACCTATACTTCAAAGGACTGTTATAAGGTGATTATGGGTTAAATTGTATTTCCCAAAAAGATACGTTGCAGTCCCAACCCCCAGTCTCTATGGATGTGGCCTTATTTGGAAATAGGGTCTTCACAGATGCAATCAACTTAAGATGAGGTCATTAGGGTGGGCCCTCATCCCATACAGCTGACATCCTTATGAGAAGAGGGAAATCTGGACACAGACATATACACAGAGGAGGGTGCCATGTGAAGACACACAGAGGGCAGACAACTGCATGAAAATGAAGGCAGACATTGGAGTGATGCTGCCACAAGGCAAGGACTGCCTGGGCTACCAGAAGCTGGAAAAGGCAAGAAGGATCCTCCTCTAGAGACATCAGAGAGAGAGCATGGACCTTCAAACACCTTGATTTTGAAGTTTTGGTCTCCACAGCTGTAAGAGAATAAATTTCTGTTGTTGTTAAGCTACTCGGGTTATGGTACTTTGTTATGGCCATCCTAGGAAACTAACACAAAGATCATGTAGACGATGCAATCCTAAGTGTGTGCCACACAGGGGGCATTCAAAGGTAGTTACTCTGAAGGCTACAGAACAGTGAATACTATGCCCTGTATCTGCTACTGGGGAGATAGCTTACTGGGTCAAGGGAGCAAAGGAGAGGGCTGAATTCCTTAGTATGCACGTGGATCCTTTAGCTGCAAGTTTTCAGTGGGTGGCTCTCCTAGCTCTTCCACTGAGCCCCTGGTGTCTCACATGAGGGAGAGTGGAGCCCATGTGGGTCTTCAACCACTAGAGGGCATTTGAAAGACATCAGATCAACAGAAGCTGCCCTCCCGTGGTCAACCAAAGGCCACATATTCTGTATGACCCACTTTGCAAAAGTAGGAAATAAATGATTCAAGCAATGAAATTAGTTATTGGTTTCTTTTGTCTAGTAGCTAAGTCAGATGGTTGAGTCAGGGATTCTGGGCAGGTAGAGTGTAAACATTTCAGTGTGTGGCCTGTCTTACTTGGCCATAGTAATAGCTATTTCTCCATCTGTGTAAGAACAGGCAGGAAAAAGAACTCTGGAAGTACAGAAATAATTTTAAAACAACCAAAGAACAATAAGTGATAGATTTAAACCCAGTTATAGGCTCCATTAACAAAACCAAGCAAGGCTATTAAAATAGGAAGTCTGCAGATGGGATACCTATTATATGCACTTTGGAAAGGTTCAAAGTGAAGCTTTTAGATGAGAATCCCATTTAATGGAGATCCCTATAATTCCAAATCTGGCAAGGGATTAGGGGCTGAACAGGAAAGGCAAAATCCACAGAGGTGAGGTTGGGATTAGAGATTTAATTCTGTCTTATTTTTTTCCAGAATATTACGGGAGTACAAATGTTTTGGTTACATGGATTGCTTTTGTATGACTTGAGTCAAAGTTATAAGTATGTCGATCACCCAGATAGCGTACTTTGTACCCGTTAGGTGTGATCTCACCCATGTTCTCCTGTCTCTTTCTCAGTGATTGACATTCTGGCTGCCTCTGGACAGCTCACTTAACCTGCCTGGGTCATGGTTTCCCTTGTATAAAACAAGGATAATACCACTCATCAGATCAATTTTCTAGAGTTCTTTCAGGTCCCCTAATGAAAAGCACATTATAAACACAGATTGTAATTATACCTGAGAGCGCTTTTTACTCTGAAGGAGCCAGAGGGCTTTTCTGTCTTTCAAACTTCAATTATGAAAGTTAGAATCTTATGCATTTGTCAGAGGTGGATAAAAATTTATTCATAATATGAATCATATAAGAGCAGGTTAATGATGCTCAAAACCTAAATGTGGGGCCTTACCAAGATAAACAGATGACCTGGAACCTGGAGACTTAGAGTCTAGTCCTCATTTTTCCAGTAATTAACCCTGGGGCCTTAGGCAAGTGATTTCACCTTGCTGTGACTTAGAGTCATCATATAGTTGGATCAGAAGAGTGTTTTCCAAACTTCAGTCACTCTCTTCATGGTTTTCACCATGTCCCCAAACCATTTATATTATTAACATTTATTTTTATTTGTTAAATTAATGAACCTTTTAAATGTAGATAGGTACTACTCACTATAGCCTGGTCCTAAACAACAATATCCATAACATTTCAGGTTTGTGCTAGTTTATAAAACTATATATATATATATATATAGAATACTCGTTGAAAGAAAAATATAATTAGGAAAAAAATACTCTTTACTTGTACACCACCTAAAAGTCATCTCAAATCCCATGTTTAGTACATGTACCAATTAGGGGAAAAATGGTCTAGATTAATTCCTCCAAACATATGAATCTATGAAAGAAATTAAAGAAGCAGAAAAGCAGCTTATGGCTGTGATAAAATTGGACCTATGGTATAGAAGAGAAGAAGCTATGATTTTTTTTTTAGATTTACAGAGTTTTCCCCACCAGACAGACGTGTTAATGCCTGATACTGTTAAGTCAGTAAACGACTGGCAAAAGCAGCATCAAATGGATATTGACGGGAAGGTTGGGAGAAAATGTCCTTTACAAATATTAACTCAAAAGATGGATCCTGAGGCAGGAGAGGAATTCATTCCACAAAGCCAGGGTTTTTGTTGACTGTTGCCAAGAATGTTGTAAAAAATAAGAATTTAGAAAGAAAGTGTTTAAATCAAAATATTTCATTACTTCTCTCTATTAAGTGGGTGGGTAGGTATCAGCAGTCCTGTATTTGTTTGTTCATTTAACTAGTAATGTTTTTTTGGGGCTTTGACAATGTTCCAGGCCCTATTCTAAGCACATCTATGAACAAAGACCTTATTCTTAAAGAGCTCGTTCTGTCTGCTTTAGACTGTGATATAAGAGTGACCTTAGGAGACCACCATGCTGTATTTGGAAGGCCTCTGAACCCGGAGATAAAAGATTTGCGTTCAAGAATCACCTCTGTATATTCATTGCTGTGAGATCTATACTAAGTCACTTTACTTTCCAAGTCTTCATTTCCTCACCTTTAAGCAGGGTTAACGATATTTCACAGACAATGGTTGAATTAACACAGTGTATATTAAATGACCTGGCATGACACAAACAGCAAATGCTACTTGAATGTTTGTTAAATTTAAATCTGAATATCATAACATTAGAAAGAAATTCAGAGATAATCTAGCCTGTCCCTTATCAGAAATAGAGCTGGAAGCCACAAAAAATTTCAATTGAAGGACAGGTTACAGAGACTTGGGCCCTGGACCTGTTGCTCCAAAGCGAGATTTTTATAGTTTGACTGTACAATTTAATTCCAAGTAAGGCAGTTCTATGCTCGGACAGAGCTACAATCAAATATAACAATATCTAGTCATATAAATATATTTCAAAGCCAATCTATAATGGTTTAGCAATAGTCATTCAAGTTGGCTAACAGATCCCACTACTGTTTAAGTTTTGGGTGAAAAAATTCTATATTATCTGCTGTTGGGATTTTTCAGATTACTAGCATGTTTGTTACTTTTTTGTATTTTTTAATATATGATGTGACCAAAATAATATTCGAATAATTACATTCCTACTTTTCTATTACAAGCAGGAATATAGCTGACTCAACCTAAGGTCTGGGTAAGAAGGGGCCCTACCCTGGCGCCTGTATTTTGGAGATCTGTCTTTTCACTAGCTGCATTGCTCACCCTGGGGCAAGGAGTTCAGGAGCTAAGGGGAAATGCCTACTAGAGCCCTATCCTCTTCTTTTAGACCACACTCTGGGGACCTGGGACCTTGGAGTTCCCTGCCCAGGTGGCTCCAGCATTTGAAGTCCTCTTGCTATGCTTTCTTCACTAGGTCCTTTTCCTCTAGGGTAGACAATGCTGCTGGCATGCACATGCCTAGGCCTGAGAGGCAACCAAGGAGAGGGGTTGGGTAGAAGGTGTGACAGCAGACAGAGTTTGGAAGTTCAGGCTGGGTTGTCTACACGCTCTTGCAAAAGGCCATTCACAGTGTAGGACAGAACATGGTGGGGAGGGTGCACAGTGCAAGATAGAACAGGGTGGGAGGGAGAAGGAAGAGGAGTGGGGTCAGGCTGTGGAGGTTTTATTTCTATTCTTTCCCAAGGCCAAATGTTATGAGTGGATCCAGCTTTACTCCTGATGGATGTCTGGTTTGGTTCTTTTCCCTTCTTTCCTGATGGCTTTCTTTTGGCCATTCACTACTTACTCTTTAGCACATCTACTGAGTGCTGATCAGGGGCAGAGAGTAGAGGTTAAACTCAGAACAGACCAGTTTGCTATTTGTTCAGTAACTAATGATCTTTGCAACTTGTGAGCAGCTCTGATAAAAATGTTTCCTGGCTGACCACCTCTTAAAATCTGAAAGGACGTCAGGGGTCATTTCTCAAGTCCATGATGGTAAGAAAAATGAAGGCTGGAAGATACAAAGACAGATGGTTAAATAAACATACAATTTATCTAAAGTTTTATCTTAGACTGTTTTCACAATCTTGTTAGCCTGCAGTTATGTATGTTTTAGAGTTGTATTTGCAGTCACTATATAACAAAGGAGTTGTGACTCTTGTAGCTTGCAAACTATTCTGATAGAGACATTATAATTCTTGATCAATTTCATACCACTCTAAAACGCCTCCCATGGTCTATTTATTCATATAATTAATAATATTTTTTGAGTGCTGGCAACTAACATTTTCCCTCTAAAAATATTACATTTTCTCTGTGGTCAGCTCTTTGTTCAGGCTGGTATGATATGCTCATCAAGGATATAAAGTCACTGGCCAATCTTTATTGTTGTTATCCTACAATGCTGGCAGCATTGTTATCCTATTCAGTACCTCAACTCTAAAAGTTAGCATTTTTGAATTTTCAGACAGAAAGGCAGATCTGGATTGGGAGATAAAAATGTAACCCTA